GGGGGTGGCACATGGGTTTGGGGACATTGGGGGGGTGGGATATGGGTTTGTGGGGGGGGGGTGGGAGTGGAGACCCCAGTTTGGGGGGGGGGGGAGGGTGGGGACATGGGGGGGGGGATATTGAGGGGGTGGGACATGGGTGTGGGGACATTGGGGGTGTGGGGGATCATGGGTTTGGGGACATTGGGGGGGTGGGACATGGGTTTGGTGACATTGAGGGGGTGTGGGGACACAGATTTGGGGATGGGGACAGTGGGGAGGTGGGGACATGGGTTTGGGGGGTCTTACGGGGTGGGAACCCCAATTTGGGGACTTTGGGAGGGTGGGGACATGGATTTGGGGATGGGGGGACATTGGGGAGTGGGGACATGATTTTGGGGACATTGGGGGGGGGCGACACAGATTTGGGGATGGGGGGGACGTTAGGGGGGTGGTGACACAGATTTTGGGGGTCCTGGAGGGCTCTGGGGGTGTGGGGAGCCCAGTTTGGGGGCGGGGAGGATTTTGGGAGGGTGGGGACACAGATTTGGGGGGGTTTTGGAGATGGAGGTGTGGGAGGGACACAGATTTTGGGGGGTCTCTGATCCCTCTGGCCCCCCTAGATCTCCAACCTGGGCAAGGTGATGTCGGTGGTGCAGACGAAACCTGTGCAGAGCTCGGCTGTCACCGGGCAGGCCTCGAGCGGCCCTGTCACCCAGATCATCCAGGTGACACCCAAAATACCCCAAAATCACCCCAAAACTGCCCCCAAATTATCCCCAAATTGATGAGACCCCCACAAATCACTGAGACCCCCCAAACCCCCCTCGGCTGTCACCGGGCAGGCCTCGAGCGGCCCTGTCACCCAGATCATCCAGGTGACACCCAAAATCCCCCAAAATCACCCCAAAACTGCCCCCAAATTACCCCAAATTACCCCAAAAGTACTTCAAAATTACCCCCAAGTTACCCCAAAATCCTGTAAAATCACTGTGACCCCCCCGAGTTCCTCGTACCCCCCCAAAACCCGCCTTGGCTGTCACTGACCGCTCCCCCCTCCCCGAGTGACCATCCCTGAGTGACCATCCCCAAGTGACCATCCCTGAGTGACCCCTCCCCGAGTGACCATCCTAAGTGACCACTCCCCGAGTGATCCTGCCCCAAGTGACCTCTCCCTGAGTGACCATCCTGAGTGACTGTCCCCGAGTGACTGTCCCTGAGTGACCACCCCCGAGTGACCACCCCGAGTGACCCCTCCCCGAGTGACCACCCCCGAGTGACGACCCTGAGTGACCACCCCCGAGTGACTCCTCCCCGAGTGACCACCCCCGAGTGACCACCCCGAGTGACCCCTCCCCGAGTGACCACCCCCGAGTGACCACCCCCGAGTGATGACCCTGAGTGACCCCTCCCTGAGTGACCCCTCCCCGAGTGACCCCTCCCTGAGTGACCCCTCCCTGAGTGACCCTCCCCGAGTGACCACTCCCCAAGTGACCACCCCCGAGTGACCCCTCCCTGAGTGACCACCCCCGAGTGACCATCCTGAGTGACCACCCCCGAGTGACCACCCCTGAGTGACCACCCCGAGTGACCTCTCCCCAAGTGACCACCCCCAAGTGACCACCCCAAGTGACCTCTCCCTGAGTGACCACCCCCGAGTGACCATCCTGAGTGACCCCTCCCCAAGTGACCGTCCCCGAGTGACCCCTCCCTTGAGTGACCCCTCCCCGAGTGACCTCTCCCCAAGTGACCACCCCGAGTGACCCCTCCCTGAGTGACCACCCCCGAGTGACCATCCTGAGTGACCCCTCCCCGAGTGACCCCTCCCTTGAGTGACCACCCCTGAGTGACCCCTCCCCGAGTGACCCCTCCCCAAGTGACCCC